TTGTTAGGTTAATTCTTCGTATGTGATGTAGTACTACAGTATTCAATATTACCGCTGACTCGGAGCACTTGCCCTATTCGCCTTGACTTGAAAAAGCAGGAACACATTTGAAGATTTTAAGCTCGAACAGCGTTGTTCTTTTGAAGCAGCCAAAATTTGTTGAACACTCATGCATGCTTTTCATTTTTTTCCAAATTCAAGTTCCCGCATTAAACCGAAATGTTTGCGTCTTTTTTTACTAAATAGTAGCACTATGTACTGGTATACACACTAATAGTATACAGTAGGTAATTATGTAATATATGGCATATATAGTATGGTACCAAACTATAATAATATTAAAATATAATAGACATCATCATCTAGTTAATTAAGTTTTCATGCACATGTGCCTTCTCCCACACTTTACTACGGACGTTACTGCAAAGTTTTACCAAAAGTACATTTAACGTTTGTGTGGTGATGCAAGAATCAGTGCAGAAGCATCACCTGATGTGGGCGACTCAGGTCTACGACATGATCAAATTTTCAATGCTTCTTCCATCAAACTGCTCAACCTTAAAACATTGACAACTTTATTTCTTAATATACAATGATGTCTTAGCTGAAGAGGATATAAAGATGACATTCCGCTAATATTTTTATCTTATTCTGCAACTTAACTTTGAAGTCACCATTTTGCAATAGCAGTTCGAAGATAGAGATAACAATGCAGAGCCTTAAATTTGGAGGAAGTGCTGTTTTTGAAATGGATATGTACCTTGAAAACGTGAGAAGAAGCTGAAAAGTTGGCAGGCGATTAAATCTTTTGGTTCACAAACGCCATCACTGCTCTTTGACTTTCTTAAATTTTTTCAAAAGAACAGCGGTTTTCATCATTGCAATTTTCGAAATAGCATAAGTGATCAAGAGAATAAGTGCAGCAACAATAGACAAGAAAGCAATGACATCAAGAGAGTAATACTGAATAAAGTTGAGTTTATTTCCTGCTGGCACAAGATTATCCAAAGCTTTGAATTCGGCGACAAAATTAGCCCAAGAAACCAGAAGATGGCTGACGCTCACAGGTTTCTTCCTAACCATCCGCGATAGTCGTTTTATATTTTTGGAATAACTAAAGAGTATACATCATTGAAATAGCAATCTATCAAGAGCATTAATACGAACCTCTCATCAGTAAGCACTCTACTTATTGCATCTGCTACCGTATCCACGCTGACCTCGTTTTTGTGAATCCTAATTGCAAAATGATGTCTTTCAGCCAATCTGGCGTTCCTTGGTTGGTCACCAAAGAGAGGGATGGTGATTAATGGTACGCCTGCGGAAATTGCTTCCTGGCAATATTTTTTAGAATGAGCTTATTCATACTCATTTCTGAAACTACCTGCAAACTATTATATCCTCCATGACTTATAAAAGCCTTGGTTTTGGGATTTTGTAAGAGATCTGATTGTGGGAGCCATTTGAAAATGTGCACATTTGTTGGAAGTTTGTCTATAAACAATTAAATTGAAAACCTACGAGCTACTGCAAAGGTAGATTGAGTTGATATTACATTTTTTACTATTTTAAAGCTATTTTAGAGGATATTTTTTTACTATAAAGTTGTTTTCCGTAAATCCTTATACAAGAACAATATTCTGTAATTAGATAAGCTCTAAGTTTTCATGAAACTACCTTGCAAGTCTATACCAACGTATCTCCAGATAAAGTGATAATTCGGAAATCTTTCGAATGCTTCAATAAAAGCCATTTTCCAACTGGCTGGCATTTTTTGACTGGGCGCTACCGAACCAAAAGAGAACAAGACGATGCCAGCTGCTTCATTGACTATTGTGTGGAATTCCTAAAAAGGATAAGTTATGTGCAACAGGGAACGGATAACACTATTCTGCTACTTTTGCTACCTACTCAGTCTGTGAACATAAATCTATGTACATAAAGCACAATGCCTCTGTGTGTGTATGTGTGT